GAGACTTACAAATGTATAGCTTTTATATATGACTTACAGTGATGTATATTGTAGTGTTTTATTGTGAAGTTCAGTGCAGTAGTTTGTTAGTGCAGAAGAGAAGATGGAGCTGCATGTGTTCTATGCTATGCAGTGCAAGACATGCTACAGTGCTGTCAGAGTCAGTGTGCTGGTGTGTAGATGTGTGTGAGATTATCGTTTTGCTATCTGGTTCGGGTCCTGATGCTGCGGTATCGTCTGCCTGATGGCAGCAGTGAGAAGAGTTCGTGGTTCGGGTGGCAGGAGTCTCTGATGATCTTCATCCTATCCTCACACATCTCTGGGTGTAGATGTCCTGGAGCGAGGGAAGCTCACCTCCGATGATGTGCTGGGATTTATGCAAGCACTATAATTAATACCATAATTCCTACATTCAATTAGGCCTAAGACATCGAGAGTCACCCAGACCTATAACAACCCAGCCACAACACATAATTGCGAATAACATGCCTTACCTTTTAATTCCAAGATGGGGGCGCGTTCACACGCTGCGGCTTCTCTCTCTCCCGACAGAAAGGTGTTTTTGTGTTTTTTGTCTTGTGAGTCGCAGTGTTTTTGTACGTATTTGTCGCGTCTATCTGTCTTTAAGCGTGCATACATGAGTTTCGTGAGTTTCTGCTCGATGTCGACAGAACCCCATTTTTAGAGTTAAACTCCGCGCACGCTGAAGAGCTGTGGGATCCCGGTCTGCTCCGGAGGCCCACACCATCACCGACCCCCACTGCTGCACCTCGCGCACAGCGGAGGCGCCACAAGCGGTGCGAGAGGAAGCACAAGAGGGGTAAGCGCGGAGGTATCCGGGCTAGGCTAGCGGCTAACCCACACAAGCTGGCTATCCCCACCATCGTACTGGCTAACGTACGCTCTTTGGACAATAAACTGGACTACATCTGACTACTATGCTCAACTCAGAGGACTGTAAGAGACTGTTGTGTTTTTGTGTTCACGGAAACATGGCTCAACAACAGCGTTCCGGACTGCACTATTCATCTCGATCAGTTGACATGGACAAAGCTCGCGTCGAGGGAGGTTCGCGGCGGGCTTTGTGTTTACATCAATGATGCGTGGTGCCGCGATGCTGTTGTGGTCTGCAAACACTGCTCACCCCTGGTGGAGTTTATGATTATTAAGTGCCGGCCGTTCTATCTACCGAGGGAATATACAGCCATACTGCTCATTGCTGTACATGCTTCAAAGCTACCACCATCATGGCCTAATGGGGAAGTTGTGGCCTAATGGTTAGAGAGTGAGACTCGTAACCCAAAGGTTGCGGGTTCGAGTCTCATACCGGCAGGGATTGTAGGTCCTACCTTCAATACCATGACTGAGGTGCCCTTGAGCAAGGCACCGAACCCCCAACTGCTCCCCGGGCATAAATGGCTGCCCACTGCTCCTGTTCACGGTGTGTGTGTGTGCACTTTGGATGGGTTAAATGCAGAGCACTAATTCCAAGTATGGGTCACCATACTTGGCCACGTCAAGTCACTTTAAAAAAATAAATAAAAATAAAATCATCTTGCTTCAATGACTACCGTCCAATTGCACTTACCCCCATCCTCATAAAGTGCTTTGAACGGCTAGTCATGCACCATATCAAGTCTGCCCTCCAGTTTGCATATCAGTCAAACGCTCGACCATCACCACTACCCTCCACTCAGCACTCACACACCTGGACAAAAAAGACTCCTACGTCAGAATGCTGTTCATAGACTTCAGTTCAGCATTCAACACAATCATCCCTCAACAGCTCATTCACAAACTGGTCCAGCTGGGGCTCAACACTT